ATTGGCTTAATTGGGATTACTTATCCGTGATAAAAGAAAACAAAGGTATTGGTTTCCTTCATTTATATGCTTTTAATTCATCCATATTAGGGGAGTAAGATTGAAAATTTATTTCTAACCAATTTTTATTTATTTTTTTATTTTTGTTTTACATGTGTTCAAAGCCAAATACTTTGCTAATAAGGATTTTTTGCATGTCCATTTGAGTCGTAATCCAAGCTTCATTTGGATTAGCATGGGTAGTGGTAAAAGAAGGCATTAGATGGAGGGTGGGAGATGGTTCACATATCAATGTATGGAATGAACCTTAGTAATGTGTAGAAGATAACTCATATATTCAAAGTAGCCCTTTTAAATGATCGGAGGATTTGAGGGTCTATAAGCTTATGGATTTTACCTCAAATTCTTGACAGAAAAAATTGGTTCAACAACTCTTTAATGCTCGAGACAACCAACTCATTCTAAACATGCATAACAATAATGATAAATTAATTTGAAAATTTAGGAAGAATGACATTACTTGATTAAGTATTCCTATTATTACATCATTGAATCCTTGACTGATAACAACCATCTTCGTGAGCAAGGTGATTGGAATCTTATTTGGGACCTCAAAATCCCACAAAAAGTAAAACATTTTCTCTGGCGGATGACTAAAACTTGCATACCTACAAGATACAAAATCTATTCAAAAGGAGTACGGTGCCCTATGATTTTCCCATTTGTGAAACTAATCTTGAAACAACATGGCATGCATTCTTTGAATATTCTCACTCCTTAAGGTTTGGTCCGAGACTAATGTATGATCAAGAATGCAGTGGTTGTGAGTGTTGTAACTTTTGTCATGGAATGTATCTTCCTTCTTCTAAAAAATCTAGAAAAAGTGACATCAAGTTCAATTTGATTCAATTCTTTGGTGTTTGTAACATATACATGATGAAAAAAATATGGGATAACTTTGAAAAACTAGTGGCTATTTCATTAAGTCTTACTCATGGTTATATGCATCAAGGGAAAGAAATACACTTTGGACACTCAACGGAAGCTACAATGGGACAAATCACAAACTCATTTCTAACATTGACTAAATCACTTGCATGCTTTTTAAAGTGGAACTTGGTGCCTTTGTTTATGTTGATACTGTAAGTATGGAATTGGAGCGTGCATTCGAGATGAATATGATCATTTTGTCATTACCATGACATTTTGGTACTATGGTAACCTTCTTACTTATGAAGTAGAGGCAAAAGCTTTACTTGATGCCATATATTGAACTATTGAAAATAATTACATATTGTCATTTTTGAATTGGATTGCATATAAGTTGCAAATAAGTTACTGATGGCTTGATTTTGAGTTCTTAAATTTGTGTTTGGTTTCATTTGGTCATTTTGTAAAGAAAAAATTCATTTTATTCACAACTTTTTTTTATGCATTTTATTTGTCGACAAGCTAACTGAGTCACTCATTCATTAGTAATGGTGTCTAAATTTCATGTTGGTCTTCAAAACTTTAATCTTGTCCTAAGTCGTATTAAAGTCATTATTTTGAATGAAATAATATAAACAAGTTGTTGCAATAAAAAAGAAATGGCTAATTTAAAAATGAAAATGCGAAAAAATTTATTTATATTACATAAATTTATTCATATTAAATATAACATGAAAATTGGAATATGAATTAACATGCATTAATTTTAAAATAAAATTTAATTAAATTTTAGTCCTACGATGTTGAAAACCTTATTTTTTAGTTTTGTAATTAAATTATTTTCATTTTAGCTTTTATACATTATACTTTTAGTCTTTATAGTCATATACTTTTTTTTCTTCTTCTTTTAATACCTATAGTTATATAAAATTTCTCCTTTGATCTTTATAATTATACAAACTTGTCACACAAGTCCTATAAAAAAGAACAACAACTAAAAATAAATGAAAATAGTATGTATAAAAATTCAAATATAATATTTTAGGGATTAAATTACATCGGTATAACTTTTATCAACTATTATATTGATTAATAATTTTTAATTAAATTATATTTTCTTAAAATTTCCTTTAGATTGAAATTTTCTTTCAACTTGATAACACATATATAAAAAAATTATATTAATTCAAAATTATTTAATATCTTTGTTATATAAATCAAAATTGAATCATCAAAGATTCAAAATATAATAAAATATAAATAACATGAGTGAGTTGATACAAATGATACATGATTCAATTCTAGCTTACATTTTTCATGACACGAGCTCAACACCCTTTACAATCATAAAATGTTAGTTTGATAGAGATACCTACTCAAGAAGATCCTTTGATATTAAGGTGAAATTCTTCGAGTAAACTTTCATTTTAATAAGTAAAGTTCTAAGTCAAATTAGATACATATTATTTTATTTGTAAAAAATTATAAATAAGTTGATTGGCTTAGTATTGAAGTTGAATTAAACTTGATTAACTTCATTATATAAAGGTAATGAATCATGAAATAAGTGAATAGTTTTTCCATTACTTTTGGGACTTTTTTTTTTTAATAAATCAATTTTTTTATTTATTAAAATAATTTGAGCCCGTTTTTCTTTACCAAAGTAACTCATTTTTGAGGTCCAAGTGAGAAATCGATTACTAGGTAATTTATTTCTCAGAGAGATTTTTTTAAAAATTTTCAAAATCCCTTTGAGAAATCGGTTATTGATTAGTTTTTTATTTTTATATATATATATATATATATATATATATATATAT